AAAGGCAGCGCCAGAGTTTGGAGCAGTCGACTGAGTCGAAAGCCGCTTTCAGATCTAGGAAGACAGAGATGGTGGGTCTACGAAAAGAATGCCGGTGCTCCAAAATTTGGCGTAGAGTGAAGATGTAGTCGATACAACCTCGACCGGGTCTAAAACCAGCCTGGTTATCATGCGTGTACCGTCCACGTGCGGTAGACAATCAGCGGAGTATGATGCCAACGAGGAGTTCAGAGACAATATTGATTAAATGAATTCCTCTATGGTTTTTACAAGAGGAATCTATCACCTTTCTTGTAAATCGGTATGATCACCGACTCACACCATTCAGCTGGAACCTCCTCTCTTCCCCATATTGGAGCCCAGGAGTTTTGTCAACTCCAAGACTAACGCTGAGCCTCCATCCTTAAACGCAGGTGGACCAGGAGCTTTGTCAACTCCAAGACTAACACTGAGCCTCCATCCTTAAACGCTGATGGGAACAGCCCATCTGGGCCAGAGACCTTATGACTTTTGAGATACCTTATTTCCTGTAATTCGTGTAAGTCAAACATGAGCTGTAAAGAGGGGAATCATTAGACACGGTCCATAGAATTCGATCAGTGGATTCGCACTGCTTTACATGATTTACACGATGAATTCACCATACAAACAAATCATTTCCGTTTATCCTATTTCTTCCATATGTATTCTGTTAATAGCCATGTGCGTGGTTCATCGCTCCTCCCCCCACATACTGGTTTCAGTGCCCATTCTCAACACGATTCTGATCACTGAATTTGGTCATGCTCCTCCATTTCACTCGTTACTTTATGCCTAGACTTAGTCCATTATACAAAAAAGCTCGTATCCGGAGACAGTTCTCTGTTCTGCGCTTTACATCAGTTATACACACCTGTATTGCAAGATAAGTCGGTGAAAATCTAGTGAGTGCGTGGTGTTCAATTGACTTGATAATGACAATGACAATCTGTAGGATAATAAGTTCGTAGAAAGTGTGAATTGTTGCCGCACAAATGTGGGTTTTTTATTCGGGAGGAGCAAACTAGGGAGTGGAACTTGAGGGAGTGTGCTGAGGGTGATGAGGTTGCAAATCGTGATTTGTTGCTCTGCTGATTTGGCGATGACACTCGGTTTCAGGTGAGGTCTCTACTTCAGTGTGTTATCCTCGAAAGTGACAATAAAAAACCTAACGTATTGCATCGACTTGGAAAGAAACCGGATGGTTTTGTGCCATCCTCTTTGACAATCTTCTTAGCGTATAGGTATACGAACACTAGCATGGGTACGTGTATATTTGAGATTTAGTCGAAGGAACTACTCTGGATATCTATTTTTGGTATAATATGTCCGTAGTTTGATCCGTTTCAGTTTTTGATGTCCTAGGATTGCAGGTATGAATGTCTAAACAGCGCATCAGATTTCGCTTGTACCTCAGTGATTCCAAATTTTAACTATGTGTTAGCTTATCCGAGTACGTTACTAGAATATACTTCCTTCGTCACGTCCATCCTTTTTTCGGCGTATTCCCACATTTGAAAAGACGAAATTATTGTGTGACAACCTTCCTGTGAATTTGATCCCTGAATAGTTGATGACAAACATATGAAGCATTTCTTGGCCATCCATTTTTGGATTGTAAAGGATATATGTATCACCTATGTATCTGGCGTCATGCATTTGTAGGCCGGAGCCCTTTTGATGCAACAGTCCCCGCGGACGTTAGATACCAATAGCTCCAGCCACTAAGACACTGATTGATGAACATATGGTTACCTCAACTGTTTAATTATAGTTCTTTTGGTAGTACACAAATTGTGCTTTCCATTTGCACATCTGTGCTAACAGTCTCGGTTGTGTTAGGGTTAGTTTCAGTCTCAATTTTCTCTCGCCATACTGATCTGGTATAAATGTTCTCACATTTAAGTTCTCTCCCAAATTGTGTCTCGAAATCATACGAGAGGGTGATCTCGTCCGACAAGCTGGACGAATTCTTTCAGGTTAAACCTCGCCATCGATGGTTAATCACTTGAGCACCATACACACACACACACCCTTCGAGAAAGTCAGCGGATTGTTTATTTGTTGATTTTTTGTGTTGTGTGTGAAACTACCGGAGCTAAATTATCGAAAGTAGTTATTTTTCTTCTGTCTTGTGTTCATGTACCTATGAGAATGTGTCACGACCAGCACACGATATACCGAAAATAATTCTATAACTGATGCATGAAATTCGGAAAAAATCTTTTGTCTTTTTATCAGTAATGTTCCTGTTATGGCTTACAACTGACTGATTTGTGTTCACACATTCCCATGGCCAAATTGATTGATCGATCGATCGATTGACTGTTTGCATTCTGGCTTGACAGCATTCGCATGTAGTGCAACGTGTGATCCAGAGTGTGCCTGCCTGTCTTCCTACACGTTCATTGTTCCTACTTGTTTCCCGGTTTGTGTATCCACTACATATTTGCTATTTACGATAAACTTACTGCTTCATTCGTTGTGCTCACTTACCTACTAAATTTGGGACACAACAGTTCTCATTTTTGATCCGATGTTTTTCAAATGACAGGTGAGCGAGACTGTTTTCTCGATATTGTTGGTTACTTCCCAGTCCAATAAATTGAGTACTTTTCATTGGTCCTGTGGGACCTTGCAAACACCGCAATAATGCTTTCTATCCCATCGTTGGTCACACACACGCGCACTCACCGTTGCTGAACTGCAACACGCGGGTATTTGCAAGCGTACGTAGATGGAATAATCTTTGTGCAGGTTTGTTTACGACACAGCGTAATGAAATTACTTCGTGCATTTTCATCATCCCAGTGACTACGAGGCGGAACGGCATTTTTTAACGTGATTCTAAATGGAAAATAGTTAAATATCGCAATAAATGAGCGCAAACAAAAACCGGAGATAATTTTACTCATCGTCAAGTAGTCCGAGAGGATCTGATCTGTAGTTTTAAACTTTGTGGCATTCTCATCCAGTTGCTTATTTTATTTACTCCGATGGCTATCAGCTACCCCGAGTTTTGCAGAGCAATACGCCTTCAGATTCATGCAAGCAGATTGGAAAAACCACTAGTTGCTCTTGGAGGTCGAGCAAAACATTCTGTGGGTTATGCCCTGTTTTTTCCAACTGACCGTCATTCGTTTCTGAAATCGAGTATTCACTTGTTTATGAAGCGTAGGCCAAGTGTTAGCGACTGAACCAGTGGTTGTCAATATTTTATATTGTTCAAATAGTTGTTTGGCAGATTTGAAGTTTGTATGTCGATTGTGAAAAGTTCAGTAGCCTCGGTGGTATTCGAACCCACGCATGGACACCGCCTACGCTTTGTACGCTTCGTAAGGAAAACCTGTCGAGGTAGTCAGCTTACATGCTAACTGGTGGATGCCACGTGCCTCTGTAAGTTGGATGGGTAAATTCGAATGTGAAAAAGATCAGTGCTATCCGTGTGGCCTCGTAGCTCAGCATGCACGTACAAAGCNCCCCGCCGAGGCTACTGAACTTTTAACAATCGACATACAATATTGTATATGTTGTGTATGATATGGCGCAATGCTTTGGTCCGTAGCATTCGTCAGGCTTTGAATTTTAAATTGGGATTGTCTACCGTCAACCCCGTTGTCTCACGGGTTTGGTCGAATAAATCCTTTTTACTCCATGATGAAAAAAAACGTTTTCCGTAAAGCTACCGATAGCTCACGTGGTCAATGTTTGTTGCAACTCGTGTAATTCCATGCTGCCCCACCTCACAAACTGTATTTCTGTTCATATTGAAACGAAGTCTTCTCAGCTGGATTTTCTTGTTCAGTCTCGGTCAATGTTTTTGTGTCTGGGACGTATATTTGAGAATATCACGTTTGGGATGCTACAAACGAATACATCATGAAGGTAGAAATCAATCACAGATACCATCTATTCGAAAGTAACACAAAAGGGCCTATTCTGTTTCCGTCGGTCTTTGGACCTTCCCCGGCTCGACGGAGTGGGTGGAGAGATGAAGTAGTTTTATTTGTTATCCTTTTCACAATACCAAGACGGATAATAAGTGATAAGCGAAATAGCATTTAATGGGCTATGGTTCACTAGTGTGTCTTCATTTTCGTGATAGGAACGATATCATGCGATACTCATCACCGTATCAGACGTTAAAGAAGTTAGCCGCAAATGATTTTCTTACCTAATCTCTTGGTTTTCGAGAACCTAAAAGTAGATGTAATTTAAGCTGTACTGGTGTTCATATGTGCACATATGTGTATACGAGTGTACAGACAGACGATTGTTAGGTTTATCCATTAAACGATTAAATTAAAGTGAACTAAGGGAACTTCATGCACCCAGCAGTTTCCAGAGTAAACTAATGAATGTGTATCCTTTCAAAATAAAAGGTGCAGGAAGAGTTCTTGAAGCAGATGGAAATTGTCCCGCGATTAACCAAGAGATGCGCCAGGTACGATATGGTAGTTTTTCTATAGGAATCAATGCGCCACCATTCCGGGCAAAATGTATAAAGACCATAGAGAACAAGGTGATATTCTCTCTCACAAATCAGGAAGAGATATTGGATTGAAGCATAATTTGCGTTAAAAGCAAGCACACAAATTGACCAATGCGGTGTTACGGAACAACTGTTTACTTGAGCCTCTTAAATAAAAAGACCACCTTCTGACTTTTGTAAATATTACCATGATTTTATCTGATCACGTAAGATTACGATTAAGCAGGGTTAACAACATACGGTCTGACAATGGGCACTTTGTGAAGAAGAAGATCAGAGTGAATGTCAAACAGTTTATCGTATTCATCACGGTTCGTAAGAAAGAAGAGAGCGGCAGCTTACTGTGAAACATTTAAACGCAACTTGTCACAATCGTGCCAATCTGAAAGTTTGTTTGAGCACACTTGGTTAAGGTCCACCAAAAGCAATAGTGTCCGCATATTTAGACAATTGTTATAGATGAGAATAGAGAAGACATGAAATAGATCTTTTGAGTATTTCAATAGTTCGATGTTGCTACATTTCGAGGTTGCTACAGCTAGACACCAACCTAAGGTTATCGGTGCTTGAATGTCACCGGACAAATGACCTTGACGTGTGGTGTTGCCGAGGAAGATAGTAGTTGTTACGCTGCTGGGAGCGGTGAAACTACGACCCGGGATGAAGTCATGAAACTTTAACTGGAGGACTAGTTCAATTCTGTTTCGTTGTGCTTCTTGGTTAGTCGAATTAAGGGTTACTGACAATTGATGATATGATCGGGTGTCATGTACTCGTTCACCTGCTCACCTAGTACCCGTCAATTTCTTCACATCTTCAGATCGGTTGGATCAACACGGTCCTCAGTGTGTCCATTCTCCCTGGAAAAGCCATAGATCAGTCCACACCATTCGTGTGAACGAGTGCACTGACCAGTGACAGGTATGATCTGGCCTGTATTCAGTGCAACGCAATGCTTGTACAAACAAGAATTGACGAATCATGCAGAAATCAGTTGCTTTCTCTGCTTATTGATGTATTGATCAGTCTTTTGATAAATGCTCTATACCGTGTTATCACGATTTCCTATCGATTCAGCTTAATCAAAAGAATCCCAAATTAGGACGCTCGTATTTGTGGGAACAGTGGTCGCTGCTCCATATGTATACTCCGGTACCCGACCCATCTACGGATTTGCGTTCAGCACTGGTTGCAACTAACATTCAGAGAAACCGATTTCCTAAGGTTTACGATCTTCTTCCACCGGAAAGATGGCGCCCAAAGTTTCGCAGTGCACTTAATCTACCCGATTGGACCGGTTACATCAACGCGGTCTACGTGGATGGTTCCGCGCTACGAGATGATATCATACTCACTCAAACTCCGTTCATCCATACAGTAGACGAGTTCTGGTTGCTGATCGACGAAGAAAAAGTAAGTCTTTATGCTATAGAATCCTGTTAGATTTGCGGAAAATATGGGAAGTGTTTGGACTAACCACTGGAATCAATAGATCAACAGTTAATCTCCGCCCAATACCCGGTCATGAGTCGTATCCTCTTTGCACAGCTATCACATAATCTGTTCAATGTTTGCTTGTTAACTGAACTGAAGAAACCTTTCAAAATTTTCGAAACATTCTCATGAAAAAATTATTTTTGGTTCTTTCTCGTCATGGCTAACCACACAATGAGCACGACGCACACCTTTTCTAATGTTATCCGTCTTCACTTTTGGGTGTGATAACCTTATATAACTGTTTTTTTATTTTTGTATATACGGTGTTACACACCCTTAAAGACATCCAGTAAGAATGAAGCGAAATGCTTAAACTCCGAAATTAGAATCAGTATCCTGCCTACATTGATTTTTCCTCTGTAATGTGATTTTTATAGTCACTTTATTCGTTGGATCAGAATGAGGATGATGATCGCGTGATCACTGAACATTTGACAATCGGTCCGATGAGCGAATTTATCCTCCATTAAAATTTGATGAAAAATCACTTCTCTTCAATGTCCCTTTGTGGACGTTTCGTTGGTACACATTGATCATGTATTCAAATGAGTAGTACAGAACGCTATGGGAACTACTAGCGTGAACGAATCTTACGCTCTGGGAAAAGTTGTTTTTAATCCCGCATCATCACCTGAGGATAGATGATGTTTTTCACTTCCGTTCTATTTATTGAATATACAAATGTGCATTCAACATTCACGAAGGGGGGCTGTGACCATACAAAGGCTGCCTGTGAAGACGGACGTCGGTGGAGAGGTTCTAACCCGGGACTCCCAGGTCACAAATCGGTGACCTAACCACTTGGCCATCACCGCCACTGAAAGCCATGACATTTTGTACACAGCCTATCACAATATTTTCTCATCACCGAATCGTGCTTGTTCGCTGCGCAGTGGTCTAACGGCGAATAATTCTGTATCATGCTTCAGGTTTCTTGTATCATTGATATGGAACCGTTCGGATACGGGACTTCGTCCGCTGTGCGTTATTGGCCGTTGAAAACCGACGAGAATAGCAATGCTCCGCTGTTTGGCGATCCGTGTGATCAGCAACCAGAACCACAGACGGACGACTCGAACTGTGAGGTCTCGGAAGATCATGTGCGCAGTGCTTGGTGCTCTGTGGCCGGGGGGTTAATGGAAATATGTCAAATTGGATCGCTTACACCCGTTCGATTGGATTCGAGTGCTCGTAAAAAAGGAACAAATCATGGCATCTATAGACGCCGTTTACTCCTACGAACTCGGACCAACGGTGGAGCTCGAGAGAAGTCGAAAGCACGTGAGGTGCTCGTGTTTCACTTTGCTTGCGAATGGAATAATAGCAATCAAGTATGTTTGGTGTGATGTTGTTTTACACAATATGCTCTGCTATCATACGAGAGCTGATTTGTTTTAGGGAACTAGATGGTTGATAAACGATTGATTGGTTGACCGTAAACTAAATTCTAGTTTGTCGGAGTGTGCAAGCCAAGTATTCGCTCCGTTCAAATTAGAGGTGAACAACAGTCGATACATAGCGAAACCGTCGAAATCAACCAGACAAAAATAGTTTATTTATTCGTGTTTTTAACTCGTTGATATGTTCAGCGTGACACAGCCCATCCAATCAAAAGAAACTAATATAGAAGATTTCGATTTAACCGATTAACTTACACAAATTATTCTCACGTATGTTCCTCACTTCATTCACACAACTCCTGAAGAAATATGCTCGAATTTCGCTGGTCGTTAGTACACATCCATCGTCCGTCTCGCACAAAAGAGAGAAACTCAGATCTAGTGCTTCTTGGGTGTACGGTCCATTGGAGGAAGTGTGAATTGTTCGGTGAAAACTTGGTCTGGAAGATAGTCAGTTTCACAAATCTGTTGTGATTGAAACTTTTGTATCCGATGGTTTGGGCGAGCTTGAGGTTCACAAAAATGTCCGACAATAACTTGCGTTTACGCCATCGGCATGAGGAGAGTATATTTGATCAGCTCACAGCTGGAGGATTTAGAGAAGCTGTTGCTTCGGTATACTGAGTTCAAGGTAACTCACTACATCGCATAGGAAATTTCAAGTGTTTGCATATCATTTCCTCAGGATCTTCTCTGTTTAAAATAGGATTCGGCTAGTCAAGGATCGTTAAATATGACTGTAATCTTAAGGGGGGAGACCTGTGGATTTTTTGTTCACTTTTAGAAATATTTATAAACATACCCATGGGCCAGTAGAATTTGAGCGGGCATAGCTTTAAGTCGGCTGAACTCTTTTTTTAGTTCAGGTGAGGATTATACTTGCTAAATAACCTTTTTATTTACTAGCTCCTTCCTTCCGTCGCAATGATCTGAAAGAGGGGGTGAAATTGTGATTAGTATGAAGGTCTGTGGTGTTGTGTTGTTAGCATACAGCAACCGAGATTGAGATAATTAATGAGACGTCGTCCATGATTTGGTTTTTCGGAAGAAAAAAATAACATCAGTTTTCCATCATATCTCCAAGTCTCATAATAGGCTTTTCTATGTGACAAAAACAGGCCAGTACTCTACTCACCATTTGATGAAATCTCTTAGAACAATTTGTGATCGTTAGGAATCGTCATTTTTATTAAAACACATGGACGCGGCTACGTCAGTCTCATTTTTTGTATGTTAGTGTCGATGTACGTGCGAAAAATCGTTACTAACGGCCAATGTGATCAACTCTGCGTCTTCCAAAGGGAATGGTTGAGAAAGCATAAAAACAAGACTTGGTGTATTTAACACCGAAAATTACATCCGTTATTGTCCTACATCGGCAAAGAAATTAATTTGATTGCCTTCGAACATTAAGTGTGCCCTCGACGATAGAAGCTCCATACATTCATCTTTTCCACTTATTCATCTCTGTAGTGCCAGTTGATCGGTTGACTTTCTGTTAAATGTCCTCTGTTTTCTCAAGTTAGGCATCAAAAATCACCGGTATTGATTACGCACGTTATCTACATCATGCCCATGTTATGATTTCGCACAATTATTGCTGTTTGTCTACTCAAATGCCCTTCACATTCATTTATGATTTACGATGTTTTATCGAATGATAATCACTCCTAAATCAACCGTGGTCCAGTGTGTTGTCTCTCCCTTGCAATCAATGGATTGCGTGTTCAGTATATCATGCTATTTAAAGCTACAGTTGGAATTCCACCCTTGTACAGGTGAATCACTGGAGTGAAAAATTATGGCTCTTTACACCTCGATGTATGTTGCAACTTTCGTGACAGTTATAAATAATCAACTATGTTTGTGAAAGCGCGCAAACGATCAGTCAGGAACGAGACTTATTTGCAATACACCAGTTTGTCGTTTCATGCATCAAAGCGAATGGAAATGATTTATGTGGATGTGGACACGGCCATTTCCGATGTTTTATTCCTTAAACGTTGAAACAGTAACTGTTTTTACTAGGTTCGTTTCTTTGTAATTCATTCATATATTTGGTGCAATCTACTCCGCTATATAACCACAATCGCCTCTGTAATGTATGTCGTTTTTAGGCACAAATGTGTGTACCGTTGGTTCAAAAATCTGGCTTCGCTGAACAGTTCTTTCCACTCAATGCGTCCCTGTTTATTTCAGTGCCATAGTAAACTGAAGGTCTGAGACAGATGAGTTCGCTTGTCCGGATAATTAGTAATACGTAATCCTATGCTTTTTTCTTAGGTTTTAGATGGTTGATATGATATCGCGATACACCGAAGTATTGCACTGGTGAACATATCTTTGAAGAATTTCCTCATTACTTATTGTTGTGTAGATCATGTACTGTATTGTATTAGAACTTGCGAGTTATAAACCAGCCTTCAACCATAAGGGGACCACTATTGTGTTCCAAGTTAAGCAGGTAAATAAACACAGTGATTTAAGCAACAGGTTTATTGCAGAAGGTAAATATGAAGCCGGTCGATAAACTGGTGAGGAAGCAGGAATGGGTAACGTGCAGGAAGATAGGCCGACACAGGCTCATACGTCATATAAAATCGGCAAGCCGTCAAGCCGGCATCCAAATAGTTAAGCCATCAATCATTCGATCAATCAACCGATCCAGCCACAGACAAGCGCGACAACGTATCAGTCACGTGCAGACCACAACCACCATCACAGTACTGGCAAAAAGGGGAAAAAGTGGGACATCAAGCCGTCGAAAATAGGACTTGACTCATAAATGCATTAGAAAGCTAAAAATGAACACTCCTTGTCGGTCAGTATCCCTGCAAGATGGGGTACCAAAGAGTTTTTGTAGGCAGATATCGCAGTTGGGATGGGTTTGTATTTGGAACGAATGGGGGGATTCGCATGCACACAGGTCAGTTTGTAAAGATAGGTGCAATGGGGTGCAACATTTTCAGCAATTTTCAAGCACGCATCAGTATGAGCATTACACATATTGTCAATCAGAACTGATAAAGAGACAACTGATCATTGAAGGGCCGTGCCTCAACAGCTTGAAATCGGTCTTCAGCTAACCAGGGGAAATCACAAGGGAGTAACAAAGGTGTATGGGGAGAAAAGATTGTTGAACAAAAGCGCCTGTCACCAAGAAATTGGAACAGAAGTGCTGCAGCCTTATTTGAAAAAACTTGCGAGCAGCAGTTTGGGTAGTTAAGAACCAGCGACGGTTACTTTAAATGTGAAAACTAAGTACTTCACTTGGCTGAACCTGCTCATCTGCTTTCCCTGAATCTGTACATTGTCGGCGGGAGATGGGGAAGCATCCAA